ATTTTCATTTTAAAAATAACTTTATTTTCTTTCAATTTAGGTATAAAGATGAGTTTTCATTGTATCAAACATGCTGCAAATTGCATCTCAATATAGACAAAAATCACAATTTTGTGAAATTCGTGATATTTTCTCGTATATGTCAGCAGCTTGAGAGGTCTAAGGATATTTTTTTCTTCAAAATATACTTTCAGTGGAGTAAGTATTGAATGCTCAGATATTTATACAAAGCGCAATGTTGCAATAAAAATGCAAACATAACACATTTTGGCTTGATTCTTGGAAGGGAATGTGGCAAAAACATTTCAGTAATGTTACTGAGCTTTAAATAGCTTACACAAGCACAGTTACTTATGATGTAGACGGAATTTGGTTTAGAAAAATGAGCGGTACTTTTAAAACTAAATTTTCCACAAACAACACCCCGACGGCAGGAAATTCAGAAGGCAGCCACATGAACATAACTCTTTTTTTCTCGCTGAAATATTCTAGCAAATCACTGTTTTCAATGCAGTAAGTAAGCACATCTTTTTTTCAAATACAATTCAGATGGTCGCTAAAGTGGCTGGGACGTTCGGTATGGAATGGTCCAGCAATATTTAAGCAAAATATCTTACATAAATAACATTAGTTATTCCTCTACCATGACCACACTGAAAAACGTTGTTCAGGCATTGTGACACTAAAGTTTTCAGCGTCGTACTGCCTGAATCACTTCGTCGATAAACTCCAAATTCAGGTAGAGAAAAAGCCGCTCTATCACGGTGGTTGTTAAAGGCCTTGCGGCCGTAGACAATGTTTAAAACAAAAAAATTAACTCGTCAGTGCTGTGACTCCTTTTTCGCCATTACTGACACAGAAGATTTTTCGGTCATTCACGTGGAGGTTCAGGAACTAGGCTTGCTCTAGGCTGGGGCTGGAGTAGACCACACAGGGCGTCAGTGGCACCCTCTCGTCCTGTAATAAGAGCAAATGTGATTTCTCATAAAATGATGTTCCTGCTGTTCTGGCAGCGCCATATATAAAGAATGTGTAGTGCGTATCCTTTGAAATGGCGTGTAATTGACATTACGCTGAACTCGAAGCATAGAACCCATACATTCCAATAATTTCGTATGATGCAGATAAGATCGTTTCCCAGCCTACAGCTAATTCCCATATTGAGGTGCAATGTGAGACTACAGCTTAAAAATAGCACTTACGTACAACGTACAACGTTCAGAACATGTAGCATTAATCAATACGCACAAGAAAGGTACCTCTTCATGTACAAACAGTGAAGGCATGTCAGCTTTCTTTTTTACATGAGAACAAATGAGCTTGGGCGTAGCACCAGCGAAAAGGTCTTCAAAAATCAAATGATTTACTCACTTTATTCACGCCTGTAACAATTTGAGGAATTGTGACAATACAGCAATCAGTACATTTCTGACTGCCTTTATAAGGGCATCAAAAATGAACAATTTCCTCGTTCTTTCTACCCTCGCAAGGAGCTCTGTCCATGGCATCTAATCCAAATTTGATGCTGTGCTTCCTAATTGCCTGCTTTCTAGACGTAGGGCTGCGAACGTGTATTTTGTGCACCTAATTTAGCACAAAACTTCGTCATCTATATTTCAATTATCCTATTTCTTTGTAATTTAATAAAAGATGCGATAGCTCGTCCAGTTTTTAAGGAGTTGCGGGCCTGCAACAGGCACTGCCTAGCAACATATGAAAGCATTTGTTTTTTTGAAATTTCTTGAAAGCTTGTTTTAAGAAAAATTGCCTGGCATATTTTGACAATCAAGCCCATTCTGTGATGGCAATCAGGGGCACGCTTTTGGCGGTTATTGACCGCGGGATTTACAAACGTAACCCGTGCTTAAATACTCACTTAAACACAATCAAGCAAGTAGAGCGCTCGAACGACAGCAGCGCGTGCGGACGCCGTCTACGTTGCATCAGCCATGGCTTATACTAGAGCTACCACACATAGCTCCCACAGTCACGTATACTCTCTTGATTCTGTTATAACGCCGCACGTTAACGCAGATGTAAGCAAAGCACGAAAACAGCAAACAGAACTGAGGAAAAACAACGCACGGCGATGACCACAACAACGCGCCTTTGGAAATCTACTAAATGTTTCCCTGTTGCTGGAGACACGTGTCCTAAATATTTTAAAAGACCGACGCGCACGTGCTTGGAGCATCGCGGCATATCAGCATTTCAAACTATACCGTCTTTAAGCAAAAAAAGTGATTTCGTACTGTGCGCTTCTGTACATCATTTGTTCTTTTTCTTTCTTTTTTTACGCTTACACCTGCAGAAGCACGCTGCACATTTGAGTATTGATAGAAATAATATTACGATGCAGCCTAAAGCGCATCTTGAAACAATATCAAGAACTTTCAGCAGTGCAGAGACAATGCGCGATCAGCAACTAATCGCGCACTTTTTAAAAGATCACTTAACTCATTGTATGGACGATGCAGGCACTTACACAACATCGCGCATAGCAGTGTGAACTCGTTAAGTCACACGTTTAATTGGGCATGTGCAACAGGCCCGCGAACGCACGCTGTTGTAAATGGCTGGCAGCCCACTTCGGCAGAGCTGCTGCAGGCGCCCAGCTAGCGCTGTGAAATCACTAGCTACGAAAACAGTACACTCACCGTTAACAGGCCCACGATGTCCGTGTCCGCCGCTCCATGAATATTCCTTAATCCGAGCGTCACTTCGAACATGGTTTTATGTGAGACCACCATTGAAGATCCTCCTGTTCGCTGGAACTCACACAGCGGCTAACACCCCAGAACAACGCAACGCATTTGATAGCCAGATGAGACAGAGAGAGAAGAAGGAGGCCCTGGCGGCGGCACCACAGCTATCGACGCAACTTTTCCCCTATCTACACGGTCGTTGCCGGGGCAACGCTGGCTGGGGTGAGCGAAAAACCCGCTAAGAGGGCGCCGAAAGGCGAACGCTATGGTGCATATGGCGGGTGGCGTCTTCGACACGGAAGGCAATCGAATTGCGCTTCAAGAATGACTCCTTGTAAATGGCAACTCTCCTTCCACCCAGCCGCACAGCGGTGCAGGTTATTTACGAGCCTTGCGTTGTTTGAGTATTTTCACAGAACGCGACTGCAGTCGGCGAAAAATAGTGAAGCAAAACTTGCGGAAAACAAAGTGCACCCTGGAACGGCCAGAAACAATAATTATTTCGTGCTTGGTGGAACTAGCGGAAGAGCATCACTACACCTTTTTTCAGATGAATTTCTTTTCGCATTGTCCGTGTCTGGCGATTCCGAATATAGTGCCGCAAACACTAAATGCGTAGTCGAAGCTAGAACAAATTAATCCACAGTCGCGGATGTTTAGAAGGCTTGTCACGCACCACAAAACGTGCCGAGGTTGTTACCAAACTTCTTGCTGACCATATGATCAGCACATAATTCCATATGGTTGCCCAATGAGCTAGCAAAGCACCTGTAGCAAAGGCAATACACGTTTTTATTAAATGTTGTTAATATAAACTATGATTGTGCATAAGCAGTCACAGTTTTTTGTGTGAATTGGTCATAACCCACGTTTTTCGAGCGTAGAAGCGTCTCAGCATACCAAATGAGCTACCATAGCAAGTTCGTAAGCAGTGATGAGGTACGAGAATGTGCAGATGTTTTCCATGTAATGAATAGTCCGTGTACAGTGCGTTGACCACCGCCATTCCTTAAGCCACCATTCATATATAAACTCCAAGTCTGAAGAGGTGTGGGACCTTAAACACTAAGAAGCAGTGCCCCCCCCCCCTCGCACGCACATGAAATTCGAGGGCGCACGGGCTGATACACACGCATGCTTATTCACAGGCGCACACACTTACACGTATACACAAATACGGCCACACACACACACGCGACCGTTAACTCACGCGTGCATGGGCGTATACATGTGCACAGGCACGCTTAACACAAGCACGGACTCCCACATACACGCACCGCACACATGCACGGGTGTACACACAATCGTGCTTACACGCGAACACATGTGCCGGCTCACGCACCCTAACTCGGGCGAACTATATGTGAGTGTATATAATCCATAGCAAACATGTAGCTTACAACTAACGCTAAGGAAAGCTTTCATAACATGGATTGCAGGTAATTACAATCATAGATGAAACGCGATTTGCTTCTGCTGGCATTCTGCTGTATTCGGAGAGCACCTTCAAACATTGCAAGTTAATTGGGCCATCTTTCAACGCAAGGTCCACATATTCGTACAGTATCTACGCTGTCCGGCCGCCAATTCAAAAGTCGCGGGTTCAACGCCGGCCGTGGCAATCGCATTAGGACGCAGGCGAAAAGGTAGAAGCCTGTGCACTGTGCGTTATCAGCGCCCGTTAAAGAACACCAAATGGTCAAAATCTCTGGAGCTTTCCTCTATCGTGACCTTCATACTCATCTTATGGTTTTAGGATGTAAAACCCCAAATAATATAATGCTGTGTTCTTCTTTTGCTGCATATTCAATCTGATCAATCGTCACCTGCAGCCTTCTTAGGCACAAACGCACCCTTAGAGCCTATTTTAGGGTGCTATCGAGGCAAGCACCCAAACAAAGGGGTGCGTTTTTAAAATTGACCATTTATGGGTTTTAAATGGTGTTAGAAAGGGTGCTCTCTCGTAAAAGCACCATTTTACACCCCTTTCAGTGTAACTTTTTCACTGTGTATTCATGTATACCAACCCGCTCGGTTTTTATCGCAAAACGGTTGATTACAGAGATCTATAGGTTCCCACTGCCTTGAAAACGATTGCCTCCGCATTTCGAGAGGGCCAGTAGGTCACGTGATATATAAGATATTACTTAGCCTCGAAGATCGCTCTCACTACAGTGGTTTTGATATTTTAAGCACCTTCTTTTTAACAATGCCTGGCTAATTTAACAAAGCAAACAAGTATTGACACACACAATCCGGCCGAAAGGCACCCTAGAAAAGAACTGTCAAGCGTACCTTTCCGGTGCTGCGGACGCCCTTCCACAGGGAGAAGTAGACGAGCACGAAAACTGCGAAGAGACACAGTGCCAGTGGCCACCGGACGCCACCGATGTGGTCAATACCATCCGACAGATGAATTTGCAGGACCCGCCGCCTGCGAGCAGAGATTACACCATGGGCTGCAGGAACAAATGTGGGCTTCTTTCCCCATATTTTTCTAGATGAAATGATAGGGGATATATTTCATGGTGTGCCATAACTTTGGCATTTAAGAAGGACAGACATTACGAGGAAGGCACTAATGTGAATGTCCACCAGCTAAAATGCCGAATGACGCCGAAGTCATGAAAGGGCTAACAAGGCTCAACGCCTTTATATAATGTACGAGCCCTCGCAGATCGCGTCTAGCAACGCTCGAAACATTATGGTCCACTACAAACTAACCATATATAGCAAAGCACTATGTTCAAATAAATGCAGAAGCACAAATAAAAAAATGGCAGCATATCCGTGGAGTGAATGATGGAGTGTGGGGCGAAGCAATCGTCCGTCCATGCGTCCGTCTGTGCGACCATCCATGCGTCTGTTCGTGCGCCCGTCCCTGCGTTCGTTCATGCATCCGGCCCTGCGTCCGTTAATGCGTCCATCCATGCATCTGTCTGTGTGTCCGTTCGTCCATCTATTCAACACTCTAAGTCCCACCATCTCGCATCTTTTTATCATATATTCCCCATATAGAAGCACCGCCATTCAGTGGACATTCCAAGGACTAAACTAGAGGTGGCACACGCACACTTTCTTACGGCTTGCGCTTCGGGTCTACTTCCCACCTTCAATCACCTTGAGTTCATGGTATATGCACAGTTCACTGTATTCATGGCACTGCGGCCCAATGCTCGCTAAACCTTTCTAAAACCAAGGAGGTTACGCCCAGCGAGTATAACATAGCAACCTTTTCCTGTCAGATAGTGCTCAATGTACATGCCAATGGCTGCTAACGGGGATCGCAGCGTGCGCGTTGACTAAAAGCCGAATGCTTCTGTCTCTCATTCTTCATTAGCAGCCATTGACATGTACATTGAGCACTATGTTTTATTGTAAACAACGCACAGAAGAAATCTCTCACCGGCACCACCTTGGAGGTCAAATGTTATACCTATTTCAGGTATGTACCACTGGGTGTTACCTAATACGAAGGACGCCCAAGCCACGCCATAAGGAGCTTCGCCCCTGAAAACCACCAACAAAGTATATTTCTTCAGCGAAAATTAGAATAAAGCTAGATTTTTACACCTCTTTCAGATCAGAGACCGCCGTTGCCACATTGACGTTGAGGCGGATTATAGCAGAGATGACATTTCAGAAAAGCGTGGGCAGTTTTAATATTTCATTTGTATTAGTCGTAAAAATGTCACAGTTTCATTACAAGGACGAAGCAATGAATGCGATGAAAAGAAATTGGAATGTCATACAAAAATATATTCATATTTATTTGCGTACAGTGCCCCAAGTGTATCACGTGGTTGTGAAAAACTAGTAGTAAAGGGCTCCTAAAATTATAACCGCTTAAATTTTTTGATTGATTTATATGGGGGGTTTCAGGTCGCAAAACCACCTTAAGTTTATGAGAGACGCCGTAATGGAGGGCTCCGGAAATTTCGACCACCTGGGGTTCTTTAACGTCAACGTATTTTTTAACGTCAACGTATTTCTTTAACGTCAACGTTTAACGTCAGCAGCAGAGTATTTTAGCCACTAGATCACCTCGGCGGGGCCACTTGGGGTTCTTTACCATCCACCTAAACTAAGAACAAGGAGATCAAGCATATTTGTCGCCATCAAAAATGTGGCTACCACGGTGGAAATGCGATCCCGCGAGTCTCACCAAAATCAACGAGGAGCTCGATACTTGCGGCTTCCCGCTAAAGTGCAAAGTGGGACGCTCTTGAAATATGCACAGGTATACACAGGATAATTTTAACTAAAAAGTATCACAGTTAATCCGCCGTTGTGTTTGAGTAATCCGCTGCAAGTGCTCGCAACGCAAAACCCGACACTCTTACGCCGAGTTCACACTTACTTTATTAATGCACTCTTTACAGCGAGCGGAAGTCTCTTGCCACCGAAACACAGCTTCGTTCGCTCTGGGGAGCTCTTGCTGTGCTGTCCAAATCATGAACATGTTCAATTAGACCAACTCTGATTGGCTGGAGCGCACCACCTATTTCCGGTCTTTCTTCCGCAACGTCATTTTGATGCCATGCTGCCTCCACAACTCTCGACACAAATGAGAAAGACGAAATGTGTTTCGACAAACGAATAATGCCCCCAGACACCTAGATTTGGATGCATATTTCTGAGGCCGTGCATGGATGCTAAGCACGTAAGCACGTTGGACCATGAATTCGGTTTAATGCAGCTGCCCGCCTACGCCTCTGATTGGTCTGTACGCATTCGTTGCATCGCCCTTCTAGCATTTCAACACTGTCGTAAAGACGTTCAGACTTCTCAAGCTTATGTAGGATTATTGCTACTCTACATTTAGTACGCTTGGTTTATTTTTACGCTGGGATTGTGCTGACGGGTTAGGTGCACCGACGTGGTCAACCACGCCATGACGTCACGACTCAGTGTTTTCTTGCGTAACTCACGCGCTCCGAAAATTACACATGTCCATGAATCGGATAGCGCGAAAGTAGCTCCCATAGACGTGCTTTGCTCTATTAAATATGACGTCTACCACAGGGCTAACGCGGGATGAATGCGCTGCCACCCGGTTGTCTCCCCCGCTAGCAAACGCTTCTGCGCTATCCGGTCGTGTAGGCTTCGATGATTTACGTGCTCAGAAAGCAGAAAAAAGTGTATTTTATTTGCTGGCAAGCCTCTGTCTTGTAGTGAATAAGAATTAGCAATAACTATCGACGTTAGCAGCGTTGGTGGGTTGGTGCAAGACCACGACAAGCTGGGTCACGCCTACTGCTTCCTCTTCGATGAACTGCCGTCGTTACAACATTCAGTTACGTGTACGGCCACATGACAAGCGAGACGGCCTTGACCGCTATTTTTTTTTCTTCAACTAGCTTTTGTTTTGGTTCGCAGTGGCCGACCTGGCGGGAGAAGTCGAGAGCGATCGGCGAGCTGAGGATTTTTTCAGCGAATCTTGCAGCCCCTGAATTGAATTCAGCGCTCTGTTGGCGGCAGTAATTCTCACTGTGAACGAGCCATTAAATATTTGCGGGGTTTAAATTCGAAGCATTTTAGGGGCGAAGCTCTAAAAGCCATGGGTTCATCCATGAATGCCTGTGACTGGTTCAGAAATATCTAGCTGTATGTCTCATCCAGGAGGTGGCGCTAGTGTGAGTGACAGAGAGATGGACGAACGGACAGACGGACAGACAGACAGACCGACATATGGACGTACAGACAGACATGTGGACCTGCGAACGGACGCAGGGGCGAAGGACAGCTGAACGGATGCATGAACGGACGCAAGCAAAAAAGCATGGACGGACGTACGCACGGAGGCACGGACGGACAAACGGAAACAAGGGCGGACGTAACATAAACCCAGTCATCATTATTTATTTACGTACTGCAAGCACTGTTGGCGTCCGTCGGCGTATCTTTCTAGCCGCCCACGTCTGGGTGTTTCATGTCACCCCCTGACCTTGGGGTACACGAAAATTAGTGTGCGAGGGTAAGATTCTTTGTCGAATAAAACTCGCTGGTCGTGACATGAAGAATGTCAAAATGTCGTCAGGTACGCCGTCAAACACTTTCCAAAAAAGAGTGGCACCTACCCGGGGGTGGCTATGTGCCGCTTCTATGCAGATATGTGCCACAAGTGATGGAAATTGTGTATCTACTCAGGAAAGAAAATAATAAACATGGGTAACCTAAATGCTTGAGCGTTAAAATAAGCTTCCATGGGCAGCGTACACCAAGTGAATGCAAGACATAATGTCAGTGTTCCAGCAGGAATCAAAGCTTATCATACTGCGAGGAAATGAAGTTCTCTACCTCAGAGCTGCACCAGGCCTTGAGAGAGCGAGACAATAAAGAGAAACGCGGGAAAGTTAACCAAGGCTGAGCCCCCGTAGGCTACCCTGCACTGTGGAAGGAAGGATGGGGAACGAATGTTATAGAGGAGAAGAAAAAGGTCACTCACTGGGTCGACGCGTAACAGTTCCGTGTTTCGCATCACAAACAAAAAAGCAGGCCGGTGTCTTTGAGGAAACGCAACAGCGCTTTCGTTGTCCTTATGAACTCGGATGGGCAGCGCCATGGTACTGAAGTCTTCTCGACAGGGCAATCACGTCTGTCAAGGTATTTAGAGCACTTCGGAGGTGAAGCATCTCATTTGTGTATGCCCGGCTGTAACAAAACAGGTGTTCAGTAGCATCATCGACGGCGCAGCCATTGCACTCCTTACTGTCGGCCATGCCAAACCTAATTAGTAGGCATTTTTGAAGGCTACGCCTAGAAGCAGACGGCACAACACTGTACTTTCCTCCCTGGAAAGACCAGACGGTAGCTGCATTCGCAGAGACGGGTCGAGAGAATATAGTCCATCATGTGCGAACAGTGATGACTGCCACTTCTGGAGTGTCATGTATTGCGCCAGCTTAATTAAGTATCCAGCCGCGTCAGTTCTATATAAACGTATGAAAACAGGGTTTGTTTGTACATGTGCTTTTCTGGCTGCTTCATTGGCGAAGTCGTTGATGAAGATACCGCAGTGACTTGGTATCCACTGGAACACATCTTTGTGCCATTTGTTGGTCACTTAGTGCAGCATTTCTCTGATTTCTGTCACAAGTTATTTTTACGACTCTCTACGACGTGTCGACGAAAGACCTTCTGGAGCCACCTTAGAGTCGCACAATACTGCCCATTAATTAGGCGCTTGTTGCTTGATATTGATGGTACCTCGCAGGGCTACAATTGCCGAACCAGTCGACTTGCTCACGCGACAAAGCTTGTAAGTGACGTTCATTTGTCACGATAGGAAGACGGTAGTGCCCGTGGAGGTCTGGGTGGTAGAGCCATCCGTGTATACGTGAATTCTTACTATGCAAGAAAATGTGCAAACAGTTCAGAGCTGCTTGCTTCAAGGCCAAGGCAGAAAGGGCATTCCTACTTCTTATTCCTGGG